GTTGCATGCTTAATAACGGTTGGATAACAGAACTTATTAGGTCTCTCGTGGGATATGACAAGGGTGTCCTTTCAGTTCGCTAATTTTCACAATAGCAGTAGAAATTCTCGCATGCAGAATAAGGCAAGATACTGGTATTAAGGGATTTGAAATTATATTAGGTTCTAAAACACATAGTCTGTAAATCGCACAACTAGCAGATGACACTATTTTTTTTTTTAAAATGCAAGCATGAAATAATATATGCTTTAAACTTGATTGAAATCTTTGGAACACTCTCAGGTCTTAAACTTATCCGACCAAAAACAGAGGGCATATGGCTAGGCAAACTAAAAAGGTGCAAAGATAAATATGAAAATATTAACTGGAATAAAGAACCTGTTAAAAGCCTAGGGGTATATTTTGGACTTAACAAAGATGAATGTGACAGATTAAACACTGAATTTCTTTTAAGAAAGTCTCAAGAAGCAATCAATAGCTGAAATAGTAGAAATCTCACAATGATAGGTAGAATAATAGTAATGAAATCTCTTATCCTTCCAAATTTAACTTTCTTGGCATCAGTTACAACTATATCCAAAGAATTTTTTGAACTTCATTTAGGGTACAAAAATAAATTACACAGATTAATTTATGTAAAGATTACTTGGACGGAGGCCTTAAAATGATCAATATTGACAATTTCCTATCTGCTATACAATTATCCTGGGTCAACTGATTGACATCAAAACACTTTGCAAACTTGAAAGTTATTCCCCTTTTCTTTTTTAATACATTTGGAAAAAACTTTTCTTTATTCAACATGAATCCAGCTAGCATAAAAGCAATTTAAAACCTTAGTAAATCACTTCCCTCTTTTTTACTTAGAAATAGTTAAAAGTTGGTTTAAAATAAAAAAATATCTCAAACAAGAATAATAATGTAAGTTTTGTAAATATAAGACAACAATACATTTGGGGCAGTACACATAAAAAATTTCAAAACAACTGCTGAATATTTTTCACATTGTATAACAAATGGGTTACTATTTTTTAATGATATAATCGACAATGCTGGAACTATTTCACAAGAGGTAGTATTAAATATATTGACCTTTAAATCTAATTGGATATCAGAACTATCTAGAATAAAAATGCAATACAAACAAAATGGCAAATGGCAATGAAATCAGATAAATCATGCTATACTAAAGTTAAAACAGATAAAAAGCTATACTTGAAAACACAAAATAATATAAAATTGCTTTGCATTGATAACCTTCCATCAAATGAAACTTATAAAAGCATTAATTCATGTAATATTGAGGAAGAAACACCAATTGGCTTTTTAAAATGGAAAACACAATTCAAATTAGATTTGTCAAGCTGTTTATATAAAATGCTTAACTTTATATCTTATAGCTTACAAGTAAGCAAATTAAAAATATTCAGATGGAAAAAAGTAAAATCACAAAAATACTGACCTCCGAGGAAAATGCAAAACGGAAAGTCCCTAATCAAATGGCAAAATCAAATGATAAAACACATCAAACGAATGGACAACAACTGTCATATTCCTGAAATGGTACAGGCATTTTCAAATGTAGAAAATGGTGGATTGAACCTGGTTTTATAGCGCTAAACCTCTCACTTGTATGACAGTCGCATCAAATTCCATTATATTTACAACGATGCGTGAACAAAACAGATCTAATAGGTAACATTGTCAAAATATGGGTACAGCAGTCATCACTGAGTCACACTCTCAAACCAAACAAACATTTAACAAAGAAGCACAAAAAGCATCTATCAAATTTAACAACCACATTCATTGCTTACTTATATATGTATTATAAATCAACCCATAAAGGACTGAAATATTTAAAGTCCTGTGACTGCATTCATATCTACTCTTAGTGAAGAGTCGCGTGTTTGACGCCAGAAAATGTAAACGTCACAAGAAGAAATATAAAAAAAATTTGAAATATAAAAGAAATTACTTCACTATATCCTTTCTTGTAAACAACTATTGTATATTTGGAAACTGAAAAGCGATGACCAGTGCCATATTTGCAACCAATTAGAATACTATGAACACTTTTTCATTACATATAAATACTTTGTGTAAAAAATTTGGAAAAAGGTCAAATTACTCCTTGATGAAATAAAAACGGGGACACAGATAATCACCTTCAAAACTCTAATACTTGGCTACAAAACATATGATATTGATGTTCTCTATTCATAAATCTACATATGCATCAGAGTATAAACAAAAAAATGTTGATGTATATAAAATGTAAAAAAAACTAGTAGATTTTTTATGATGTTTATAAAAATATGAAATAACCATGCATATATTGTACATGCTCTTTTCCGGTATTATTAAATACATCACGTAGAATAACTAATATGAAATGCAATATTCGATTTTAGTAAACAGTTGCAAATTTTTAGGATGACACATGCATGTGTGTGTTTAAATGTGATGAATGATGATTACCTGTACAACATGCTTAATGAACATTGATCCTGTACTGACTGAAAAAAGCCTTTGATATTTTAGGATAAATCATGATTATTTCTATAAATTTATTATTAAACAATGAAAATATTACCAAAACTCACCTTTAGAAATACTTAGTTGAGATCCTTCTGCTCTCAAGATCATTACACGTGGTATATTTTAATCATTCTGATCATTTCACCTTTCACGTGTAATATTTTGATCAAGGTTAAGGTCAATTAATAAATTATCAACAATATCGGACAATATATAGTACAATTTCCGTAATCATGTAACATAATAAAGAATTAAAAAAACTGTAAAAAACAATGTATTGTATAACTAACCATATTTAATAGATATAACTTTTAATGTATAATCTCCCTGGTTAAATAGTAACTCATTTACAGGGATACACGACCGAATGCTGTGAGTCGAGTAAGTTGTTAATACAGCATAGAAATGTGCAATAAAAGATGTATTTTAAAAAAAGGAAGAAAGAAAGAAGGCAGTCTAATATCATCGACAAAAAAACGTTGAATAGGGAACAGCTTGTCTAATACAACACCTTTAAATGTCTCCTGAGACTTTTTATTTCAGTAATTCTGATTTATTCTTTATGTAGAATGTATCAATATACAAAAACCAGTAATGACATAAAACTAATGAATGTTTCAAGGTACATTTTGTATGATGATCGATAGCTAAAAGAGAGAATTATAAGCAACACCAATAATAACATTTTAATGTTAGAAAGGGAAAGTAATAGCTAGATTGTTTATTTTGTTTAAAATATTTCTATGGAATGTGTGTACTGTTATACGATAGAACACGTGAAGCCATGTATGTATGTATTTACGAAGATCCCTCCATGAACGGAGGATCCGCGGGTACAGTGGAATCCGTGTTCACTCCCTATCAGGATTAATGGAGGTGTGTCAGTAGCTAACAGGAGAAATGTTATGACACCTGGAAGTCTGTTATTATGAAATAAGTTCATACTACGGTGTAATGTTGGTATTTATTTTATTAGTGTTATAAGTTGATCTGAAAATTGATCAATAGATCCGAGGGGGAAATTTTTTTGTTCAACTCTCTATATCAGTCCTTTTACACATGCATTTGCCTGACCTATTTACTAATTGTTGAAATACGTATTAACATTTGAGTCCATGAAAGACTTATGTCATAAACGCATGATTTACAAGTTGGTTAAAATATCGTCAAAATCGAAAACAAAATCAGGGGTATTTAATTTTTGTTTAAAACATCCCAACGCATTCATCCGATAGTCTGTTATTATATTACAACTGCCATTTAAATTTTAAAGGTTTCAACAATGCTATTAAATTTTTTTTTAAAAGAAAAAAAAAATGTAAAAACACACGCTCTAGCAACTACAAAGAGGACTAAAGAAGTCAAAACAGTTATATTCCAAAGGTCAACAATACCGACTTAATTTTATTCTGTTCTACAATACATTCTATTGTGAAAAGGTTTTTTGACTGTTTATCTTTTGGATCACACGTATTTGGAACATGAATTGTTTCCAACAGTTTAATAAAAGTATGGATATGTCAGGTAATCAGTTGATCTTTGGACATTTCTGTAGATAAGCTTTTAGGTCTACAAAATGTCTTATGTCTGTAAATAAACGACTTATTTCTTCAATATGAATATTTGTACTTCACATAGACAAGATGCAGGCTTTAGAACTAATGTTGTGTGATTCCGTATACACAATTATAAAAATTAATATATGTTTGAAATTTGCCAATTAATTTTCAATGGATTTGGTTTTGATAATGTTCTTTTTAGGATTTCTAAACTTTATATTTGAGCGCCATTGATGATTTTTTGCAGACGAAACGCTGGTATAGCGTACATCCTTTTAATCCTAATACATATATGACGAGTTTTTATACAATGAATTAAATCTTTTGAACAATGATATTTTGATGTCTGACATCTCTCTTCTAGTGAATAGATGAACTGATCAGCTTTATAACATCCAGTATCATAATAAAAATCAATGAACAATTCATTTGATTTGAATTAACCTGATTTATTGAAAAAACACTGAGGATTCCCTGTCTTTAGTATCTACATATTTTTCGCAGAATATTGAAAAACGCGATTATACATGTACAACATTTTTGTGTTTTGATATAGATTTCGTTGTGTTTAACTTTGTATTATGTGCTAGATGAACACTTGTGTTATCCTCTGTTTCTGAGTCTTATATAGCTTAACTTAGGAATAACTGGAAACTTAGCTAACTAGTGATATGCTGTAGTTAATACACATTTTCAAATACAAAAGCTAAACTTGACGACAGACACACGATGCTCATCCAATTGTGAAGCGTATCTGAATCAAAATATTACTAGAATGCGGAAAGGAAATGACTATAAAAATTAGAAGATGGGTATGATTGTCAATGCGTCACCTGTCAACCAAGGTCCAAATGAAGCATATAAAAGCAACACTAATAGAAAAAAAAGGATATTGGGTTATCCATCCATGACGTAAACTCAGCACATGCAGAACAAAAACACACAATAAGCGCTTGTATTGCTGTTTTTATACAATGAATTAAATCTTTTGAACATCGCTAACATGGCATCATTTGAATCTTGTCACATTCAACAGTCTTGAAGGCTTTGATATGTATTTATCTTTTCTGCTGACGCCTTTTCAATTCTTTGCAGATTCACTTATACAGTTATGATATGACTTCCATTGCAAAACAAAATAGTTACAAGCTCGTAACTTATCTTTAAAACATTGCTCACCTTCTTTAATATTTGTAGATTCCGATGTAAACAATTGACAGTATAGGTTACGATATATGTGCTTTTTTCCGCCAAAGGCAGCATGCCTTGTGATGGATCTATCCATCAAAAGTCCGGAATCCAAGCTGATGTAACTGTAATATATACAAAATGATATATTGCCATATTTTGAATGATGATACTAAATACAAATTAAAATGATAGTTATAAGTGTTGTTGGAAACAACAAAGTTGATGTATTATAAATTTATTGTTTTTAACGAAAATGATACACATTCTGAAATATCTCAAGTTTTCAAATTTGACATAAAAAATATGGTTTTACATGGCAATAAAATAATAAACACATTAGAATTGTGTTGATGACAAAATGAGACATCATACAACAATAGTTGCTACGAAGGCGTTGTCAATGGTTTTTCTAATTTTGACATGTTTACCTAATAAATCTGTTTGTTTTGTTCACACATCGTTGTCAATATTATTGAATTTTATGCGACTGTCATATAAATGAGAGGTTTAGCTACTATAAATCCAGATTTAATCTACCATTTTCTACATAAGAAAATGCCTGTACCAAGTCAGAAATATGACAGTTGTTATCCATTCGTTTGAGGTGTTTGAGTTTTTGATTTTGCCATTTGCTTAGGGACTTTCAGTTTAGAATTTTCCTCGGAGTTCGGTATTTTTGTTATTTTACTTTTTGCATCAAAACAAAGCGGGAAGGCAAAGAAAAAGATAAAGTTCCTTGTACTTTTTTTCTTTTTTTAACATTAAAAAATCAATGAAATGAAAATAATAACTTTTTTCAAACATTCAAATACTTGTATTTGTGAATTAATATATATGTCGTGTTCTGATAATCGTTAAATAATTTGCGATATTTGAAATCTATGAAAGATATTTTTTTGAATATTTTGGCTTTCTCGTTATAATATCAATTTTGCATGTTTGAAAATTATGGGTAATTTGGTTTTGCCCATACGACATTGTCTGTTTAAAGTCCGATTGATCGTTTGAAATGAGTGAAAGTTAATAGTCTTACACGCTCTCCAACCAAACCAGTTCCAACCTAATTCAAGTAGTTCAACTCTTTCTCGGTGGTTTCTTGTATATGATCCTACGGTATCTGCACAAACATACGGACTCTGCCAATCCTCTTCTTTAAATATATAAAAATAACGGGAAGTGCCATTTTTTTGCTATGTTTTGAAACAAAGCAACGGTTCATGAATACCACAGAAACGTTTTATATGCATAAACAACAAAAAACGTTATTTGTAAAACGATTTTTTTACCAAATAAATTATCAAATGGATCACCGTTCTCATATGAAGTTTCATAAACTCAAAAAATTCAAAAATATACATAACAAAAAAACTCCCTTAGTCAAAGTTGACCTTTGTTGAATACAGCTATTCTTTTTTTATTCCTTTGGGTTACAAAACTCCTAATGTTTCGACATATTATACATTCTTGGGTTTACGATATTTTGGTTTGAGCGTGTGTGATGAAGTTTAATCGAGGAAAGCACTACAGATACTCGAAATTTATAGGATTGTATTTGTTCATGTATTACAATATAGCCCTTGGTTGATACCTCAGCCAGTGAACTTTAAGTTTCAAGGGGTAGTGTCAGCTCAGTAGTGCTTATATACTGACATGATCCTTAGCATATTTTTCTGAAATTCGATTGATAAATCGATAAATCAAGAAATTAAGAGTCCCGAACACAAAGTCGACCTCTTATGAATTTGACTATTATTTTGCGGTACCATTGTGTCACATAGCCCCAAATACGTCTACTTATTTGTACATCTCTGGCTTTCAAATATTGTAGGTTGTGCGTTTCTGATTAAGGTTAATCCAGAATAGCGCATCGGACGTATCAAATTTTATTTTCATCTTAAAGTAGGAGGCATGATAAGAGCCATGATGTGGCCCCTAAAATTATAAAAATAGTTAAACCATTCAATCTTTTCAGTATTGGTTTAAGTTGTGTGATAGATGAACATTCTGGTATATATAATATGGATATTTAAGTACAGAAAGTTCACTTCTGATGTTTTTTGTCGACATGGATTTATTTGACATAAAATGGTAATTTTAAATGATGTATCGGGTCAAACTGGATTGGAACAAAGTCCTTACCCAACAAATTATTTTACATATATTTGTGTTTTTATGAAATATACTAAGTGTCTTTTGAAGTACAACTTATCATAGCCAAAACCACAAGTCTGATATTAATAACAATACACTAATATTCTTCTAATGCATTCCTCAAGCATTTGGTTATATGTTACTTAAACAGTATGGTAATGCATGTAACATTCTTAGCAAAAAAAAACTTGCAATTTGGATTTAATAAAATTGAATTCAGAATTCTCTTACTTCCATCTAAATGTGATCGCAATTGTCCAAATGTGATCACAATGGTAATAATATTTCCGATACCAATCTTACTGCTCCAGATACGCATTTCGACAATTAATATCTCCTCAGTTATGCTCGAGACAAAAATGTTTAATAAACCAAAAGGTAGTACAAACGTCGGAGAGCTGATCAACCAAAACAACCTTATGATAATGTTCTGTATCCAAAAATCTGTCGGTTTGATTTTCAATAAATAAAATAAAAAACATGTAGGGGTATCGTTCATATTTGCACGCATTCTATCTTTTTGGGGTTAATATATCTAAATATTGATTGCTTATATTATAAACGAGGCAACATTATTTTGGAAGGTTTTTGCAGTTTATTTTGCGAAATGTATGGACTTGAATATGAAATGCTCATATGTAAGACAACAGCAAAAACATATGAATACTGATAAATGATACCATGATAATGATCTTCAGACATACGAATTGAGTTATTTGGCAAAATATTTTTTAGGGTTAAAAAAAGTAGCCCATTCATAATTTAACCTTGTTTGCGTTGGAAGTGCTATTTAACATAGTACTTTATTTGGCCTTTTACATATTTTGATTCTAGCGTCACTGATGAGTCTTTTGTAGACGAAACGCGCGTCAGGTGTAACAAATTTAATCATGGTATCTATGATGAGTTCATTTTCTAGATTTATCTTCATCATAAATGCACAGAACCATAAAAAGGAACATACTACGAAATAGGTTAAATTTGTGGTGAGGCTTTTGTTGTTATATTGATGGCATTCACCATTCGTGCGAAAAAATACATGTTAAGTTTATCTGATTTGACTCCAGAGCAATTTATAACATTAATATAAATCTCACCTGCTCAGATGTTGAACAGAAATTATCATATTCTTTTATCCTTTCCTTCTGTGATTGTTAACCGTCGGGCAGATACCATATGCGTTTTCTTGTTGTCATTGTCTTCCATTTTTTCCATGGATTTACTATCTTTGAGAAGTTTATTTCTGTTAAGAATGATAAAATTTCCAACATTTGAAATGGTCACATAAAGATAAAGTGCATTTTAACAATTGTATTCTACCAATTTTAACAAACCAAAAAGAGGTTGTAAATATACCTCTGAATCAAAAAGTATTATTTTTGCATAGCTGTTGTATATAAATAATCTATATGTAATTCGTGCTTTTAAAAAATGTTTGATTTGGATGTGTCATCAAATTAGTAAAATTGATACTTATTTGACGTCTCTGATAGGGTCCTTTTAGTAATTTATTTGTTTGTTATAATTTTGTTCTCTCCGCATGGCACTAAATACTTCAAACAACATAACGTAATGAGTTGACCCTTTTTATCTTGGTAATTTGAGTTAGGAATTTGGATGTCTCAAATGACCCAATTTGCAACTTGTCAAAAAAATCAGCTCTGTTCAGTCGGTATCATAACAAGAACGCCAATGTTTGTAGCCAATCTCTTCGTAGTTTCAATTTAATTGGGTTTGGTGCATAAAAGCTATGCTTGTAACACCTTACATCTGATATTTGATTGATCCATATCCATACGTTCAGTGCATGTTTAATTATCCTCTGTTATCTTGACATGCATAGTCCAGTGGTCACAGATCTACTGTTATTGTATAGTTTTCGCTGTATTCAGTGTTATGAAAAATATATATGTCCATTATATAATCCTACCAAATTGTGATACAAATATATGTGTATTAAAAAATCTGTGATCTAGATAAAAGTAAATAAAAGTTCCAAAAAACCTAATGTATAAATTTCAGTATATGGAACTGATTTGTATTTCTAATTTCTCCTTACACCGCTTGACAACGCTTCTTAAGAAAAAAGATAATGTAAAATGATATAAAACATCTAAAGTTAAGACTACTAATTGATTCAGACTTACTTGTAAATAGAACAAACCTGTGTTTATATCAGGTAGAGCAGGTAATCATTTCAAACCAGGAAGATATATACACAAAGATCGTTATTTCTAATTATGTAATGATTATAATAGAATACATTTGCGGGATCAATACTAGTAATACGTCATAGATAATAATACATAATTTCATAACAATTTTAATCTTTACATATAAAACGAAATAAACACCGAAAATTGTCTCTTTTTTTTTTTTTTTTTTTTTTTGTCTAGAAAAAAAACCAACATTTAATTTGTAAACGAAACGAAAATCAGTATTCAATATTATCGTTTCCCCTCTTTTAATTATTAAGGTGACTGTTTACCTATAGAACATAAAGATAATTGGTGATTGATTGTGTAAAAGGCATATGCTAATGTTTGAAAAGTACGAAATGACGTAAAGACCACACAAAATCGTTAATTCATGTAACACGACACAACTGTTATCCATATGTCATTGTACAAAAAGTAAAATAACAAAAATATCGAACTCCAGGGAAAATTTAAGACGAAAAAATACTTATTAAGTGGCAAAATGAAAAGCTCAAACACAAATGGAAAAGCACTGAGTTATTCTTGACTTGGAACGGGCAATTCTTGATGTAGAAAATGGTGGGTTGATAGTTATCAAAGGTACCAAGATTATAATTTAATACGCCAGACGCGCGTTTCGTCTACATAAGACTCATCAGTCACGCTCAGATCAAAATAGTTATAAATCAAAACAAGTACAAAGTTGAAGAGCATATATGTCTCAAACTTTGCAGATTTAGGCAAAGACCTAGCCCGATTGTGTACTGCTATTATTCAGTCCAAGACGTTGGTAAACAGTGAATCTTCCTTTACACATTATTTAAGTTCCAAAATTGTACATGCAAAAATCGTGTGGCCGATAATTATTTTGTATCCCTTTATTACGATGAATTGACATATCACTTTATGCTAATACTACTGTTGACATTCTAACTTTCAATTTCACCTGTTTAGTACTCCTATGTACTGAGTCAAGTAATGAGTCAAACTGGTCAATCGCCTTGTCCCTGACAAACGACACATTGTCGAAACTAAAGATATCAAGAAATGTGATACGGATATCTAGTAATAACACAACACATGACGTTGCGCCTTGAAATGTTTGAAGTTACTTATAGAATAACTAATCGAAGAATTCAAATAGAGAAAAATATTCAACGAGTGACCGAACAACACATTAATTCACGAATGCGCGTAGCGCATGAGTTAATTATCAGTGTTGTTTGGTCACGAGTTGAATATTTTTCGATATTTGAATTCTTTGATTAGTTATTCTTTTTATTACATTGGCAAATGGCTTTTTTTAATGAAATTAATGTAGAAAATGTAAGGAACTATATCTTTTTTCTACGCATTCACAATTTGTTTTGATCCGACGTTATCGACGTCTTGACAACGCCTATTGTTGTATGACGTCAGAGAGTGAAATAACCACGTTTATTTAACATGTGAAATTATCGGTTTTTATTTGACTTGGAAATCAATGTAATTCAATGCTACCAATGTAATAAATTGATTTATTGTCCAGAGACGTATATGAAAATGGTATCATCTTTATGTATTAATGTTCTATATGCGAAGCAAATTTGAACATGTTTCTCAACAGACACTGACCATGTCTTTCCTCTTTATAAATAAATATTATCAACAACTAATTGACATTAGTATTTAATATGCATAAAAAAAAACGACGATAATAAACACATATCGTATCATATTTTAATGTTTTACTCAAATGGGACAAAACATTATTGAAAATCAATAACAAAATCTAAAATTACAGTTTCCTTATTTTAAAAAGTGTATAATTTGCCCTTGAAGAGTTAATGGTGTAAATTTAAAATGTGAGAATTTTTTTACACTTTAATTGAACGTTTTAATCACGGTTTATAGTTGAGGACATATAAAGCTTCTCAATTATCAAAATTAGTGTTTGTTGAACTTCTATGTATCCAATTAAATTTTTCCGATAAAGTATGTTGTTCAAGTTTTTTGTAATTTTTATATTTTTGTCAACGGTCAAAGTAAATATTTTGTCAACATTTTATGAAAACTAAACGAGCCAAATTAATGTGAGTCAAAGTGTTTGGTACCACCTTAATTGGTACTGTCGTTCACAATATTTACTTAATATAATAAAAATCTCAAATCTCGACATCTTCGAACAATTTCATGCTAGCAGGTATAGGCTGGATCAGAAATATCCTCTTTTTTAACATGTGTTCAATGTTAAAGCAACTGTCAAAAGAATGTTCTAAATATTGTTTAAGTCAAGGTTACAGCTCAAGGTAAATAATGTTTCCCTTTGCTTGTATGTGCATCCCCTCCCAAACTATAAAAGTAAGATACAAAAAACTGATGTTTAAGGTTTGAATAGTTGAGAGGAAGGAATGGTACATTCTGTCTAAAGCGATCTGATGACATCTTATAGTAGTTATTGCCCCTGAAATTGGTAAATGTAAGGTTGAATGATTATCGTTCTATACTGGAACAGGATAAAGCCATGGAGTATTTTGCAAATGGTAGGGTGACATATTATCTTGAAGTATCAAACGGAAATGACCTTCTGCAAACTGAAAGCTGCATTTTCTTTTTCAATTATTCAAGGGAAAAGAATTATGAAACTAATTATGCATAAAGTAACAAAGTAATCAAGTGACACCGGAAATGACCTTTTGTAAACTGGAATTAGCTAATTATCACTTACTTGAAAAGAAAATTACATAGAGACCTAAAGTTTTTTTTTTGAATCAGTGTAATGCAAGCTATCTTTGGAATCTGGTTAAACCCGGAAGTGGTTGGTATTTTTTCTTAATTCGATTGGAAGTACTACGAAACCATATATTCTTAAAATCAGTGCAAAAAGGGTTATCTTTTGAGACAAGAGGTGACTTTTTAAGAATTGGAAGAATCATATTAACTCCCTTTCATCATGTAAAGTCTATAGAAACCATATATATATTGGAATCAGTATGAAGATAGCTTTCATTTGACACCAGAAACAACTTGAAGATAACCGAAAGTGCCTTTTTCAATGATTCAGAAGTTAATTGCGGCAAAACTTCCAATTTTTTCTGAGCACTTGTTTTTTTTTACTATCTGAAATATCAATTGATCGTGATTATAAGTATAAAGATTCAAATCTCAAAACGTTTTTACCACGTTTTCAGGAACCTGTTCAAAGTCAGAAACCCCGTCAGTAGTCAACGGATATAATCTTACTGTTGTTGGTTTTTTTTTTTATATTATGAGAATTCAGTGTGTGATAGAATTTATACATGTTTTAACATACTCCTTTTTCCATTTTCAGTTGATCTATCTAGAAATTATTAAGAAACTGCAGTCTCGACTCCGTCATATGAAAGTTATCTTAAATGAATGTAACTATTTCTTTTAGGTCTGTTTAGGTCATACAGATATTCACGTTCACATGTATTTATATACCCTTGGCTTTTGAAAGTATATGCTTGAGTATTCATGGTAAAGGTTAAAACGAAAAGCGTTTCAAAGCCACCAAATCTATGAACTTGTATTTTTCAGTCCGGTGACTCCATCCGTTTTTCTGATCCGAATCAGGTTGAAGTTTTGGTTTAAGGAAGGGTAAAGCTTTGCGTCGAGGTAGTTTGTTGTTACATCAACTTGATATTTGGTACACATTAGATAGTAGACTATTTAAAGTATGACACATATAGGTGATTACCTGGTTCACTGAATATTGAAATGAGATTGTGCTAGCAAGGCATAATGTGACCGATAGACACGTATTATGTGTTCTGGCATAATACATATACTGCTGTTTCTGTACGGTCAGTCCGCGAAAATTATCAGCAAATTTGTCTTTTTTTTCGAAATTTAGAATTTCAATGCTGGTATTGATGATAAGTTTATTAATTAAAATACAAGGGCGAAAATTACCGTACGTATTCATGGCTCCTTTGCTTTTTATGTCAAATTTACCAATTTTGGACTTTTATGTCATAACTATCCCTTTACCTTACTTGTGGTTGTCGCTTGTTGCTGTATATCCTTTTAGTCATTCGTTTATTGTCTTGTGTATAACCGGGCCGTTAGTTTTTTCGTTTGAATTGTTTTACATTTGTGATTTCGAGTCTCTTATAGCTTAATGTATGGTATGGGTTTTGCTCATTGTTGAAGTCCGTACGGGATTCCTAGTTGTAAACTTTTATGTCATTCGGTCTCTGATTAAGGCTTGTCTCCTTAACAATCTAACCACATCGTATCGGTTTAAAGTGCTGACTTTTAAATGCACATATAGGCTCATTGTTTCCAACAAATCAGGAAGTAAAAATCAGATACGTCTAATTTGAGAGACAGGCAAAATATGCCCTTTGATATGAATTTCTTACAACTTATTTATCATTTAAAAAACACATTTAAGGTGTAAATAAATCAACAAAAACGCCAATAAATTTTGTAATTCTACTAAAAAAACAATGTTCTTACATATTTACTCCCTTCAAACAGAGAGTGTTCTTTTTATGAAAATACAGTAGTCCAAACATTAACATGGTTAAATACTGTCAAATGTTTAAACAGGTGCATTTTTTATATATTAACCATGCTTATATAGTATCAAATGGATAGAGCAAGAATCTGGAATTGTTACTCAACTAGTAAAAACAATAAATTTAAAATTACATTCTTTTAAATAGTCAATTCCTATACGATTACGCTTGAATGACAACTTTAGCCAAACCATGAAATCCTATATCAACAAAACTAGATTGGACTCCACGAGTATCAATAAATCTACAGTATCAGCGTCAATGTGATTAATCTTTTGTTTTGCTGACATTTTACAGAAGCGGACATAAATATCAGTTCTTGTTTTTCTCTCAAGCATTCATGTACCGAGGTTTTGATAATCGGATGAAGTTACTTTTCACCGTTCAATACATAAGATGACTCCTGTAAAGAATGTCGGCTGTGTTTTATGACGTGAGTGGTTCTGTTGATGATCTACAGACTAATTCCTTCAAACTATCTCGGAACTGCTTTGACATAC